TAAATTGTTTTTTGATCCTCCATCCACAGGCTGGGGGGTTCTGGAGTGGAGAATCTCTGATCGGAGAGGGGCCTTTGTATTCGATAATGTGCTGCCCAGGCAGCATCGACATGGCCATCATGGCCGAGGTTTCCAGCTCCCTAAAAGTCCGGTTCGCGCAGGTCCGGAAGGGAACAGTTGGTGCTGACAGGATTGTGTGCCTGTATGTGCCTGTGGTTGTCCAGATCCTCGACATTGCTGACCATCATGTTGCTACCAGGCGGCCAGTCATTCCGACCCGGTCTCAGTTCACCAGGCCTTCGAGGAGTCGCATCTCGAGCCAGTCTGACATCGATGCTGCGCTTCCTGACATGAAGATCATGAAGCATTGTGCCGCAGGAGTTGGCTCCATTTGGTGAGATCGCACGCCTGGAGTTGTTGAACCGCTCTTAGAAGCCTTCAGGCAGCCTTCAGGCATCGGTTGCCAACAAGAGAATGCTGACCAGGCCGGAGGAGCCCGACAGCGTGGCCGCTTCTTCATGCATTTGTGTGTTGTTTTGCTCTTCAGGGGGGCACTTCTATGACAGAACCCGTGCTCTAGGTCGTCAGCTACTACGACGGTCGATGCGCCCTTCGCGCTGCTCTACATCTTGGTGATGCCCGCTGCTACATGGTGCGCCTGTAGTCATCTGCTCGGAATATTCAACTCTTACATCGGGTTGGTGCTGTGTCTGGGGGCTGGCCTGCAGCACGGCAAAGGTGTTGCATTGTTCGCTTTGTAGCTCAACGCTGGACAACAGCAAAGCGACAACGATTAGCAAAGCCCTGGACCCTTTCTGTGCCCGCGCACATTGCTGTTTTACTGGCCAGGAAGACGCTTCTCCCGATCATTCGTCGTCTTGGATGTCGTGGGGCAATTAGTTTGGAGAAGCAGAGCTCGCACCTTCGGGCGGTTCCAACGTCTGCCAAAACAATAAATTCAATAGGTTACAGTGCTTACAGGGCAACAAGTCGGGCAACAGAGCTCTCCACCACTCCCACTCCCCTGTGCAGCAGAGGAAGAGGCTTTTTGAACCTGTGCACACGCGCCTTTCACCACCCATGAGGCGACCGACCAGCGATCGTGACGGGCACACGCAAGCAAGGTGCAGTTGTGTCCGGCCTTCACAAAACGTCAAGATCGACTCTACGCTTCCCCACACCAGGTTCAAGAACCTGATGTGCTGCTGGTACAGTTTGAACATGGTTTGAACCACAATGTCACTACATGACCACCGGAGCAAACATGTGATTTCGTCGAAGCCAACATCTGGTCGTTGCGCGACTCTCCGCCATAGCGATGTTGTACCTTGCAGCCTTGCCGTGGGCGTGGCCCGCGCGACCGCGACTGACCGGCACATTCCGGCCAGAGCGCGGCTCACCAGTCCGATCGTCCGCAAACGACAACCGGCAGGGTACCAACCTGCATGAATTGCTCTCCCTCGCAAAACCTGCTACCAATCAAAGATAAACACGAGAATTTTGTTGCTTTACCATTGCGGGGAGATGCACATTCCGCAGTGCGGGGAGCTCACGGAAGAGGCTCCAGCTCTCTTCGTTGCAGAGTCCATGCGCAGAGCTGCAGCTGCGCTTGGCACCTGGGGGCTACATTCCAGGTGTTCCGCAGTATTCCGCAGTATCCAAGAACCACTATTGTAGGGCAACGTTTCACGGAAGTTCCGAGATATGCCGAGCATCGGAGATGCTGTCGATAGGACCAGACAGATGCGCTTGGCTCATACTTACGGCTCCCACGGCATCAGCATCAATGCCAAAATCAAGTTGCACGAGCAGTTGATTGAGCAATTCACTGCAACGGGCGCTTTGGCCGTGGCACGGCGTGTTTTTGGTGCTGCAAGGGGGATTTCCTGGCCTCGCGAACGTGAAGGCTCAATACGGTCATCATCGTCAACAAACCACTGGAGCAGACTGACGGGTGACTCGCGACGCCTCAGTCGCAGTGAAACAACTATGTGAAGGTGCCAATATGTGCCAACTCACCTATCACCAACGATTTGTCATCCTTGGCCAACCTTGGAGCATTGCGCCGATGGACATGGTCTGCGGCTTTTATGTGTTGATCATAATTGTAATCTAATCTATACGCTTTCGAAACGGAGCTGCATAAGTCTCGAAATTTCATAAGGCACAGTTTTGGTGTCGGCAGCTGCATTTGCTCGTCTCGGGCACCAAACACCAACTGGCGCAAAAGTTCCAAGGATACCATCCGCGTTTCGCCATCCTCCAGACATGCAGCTTTGAGGTCAAAAAGCGCCTTCGTGTGGGGGCGCCGCCATACGGCCAACCTCCGATCACTTCGTTCGCCTCCGTGCTGTCCATGACCGGACACAGAAACCATCTCCCACAACTTCAACGGCTTAGCAAAGCTAGACCAGGATGATCACGTCCGGCCAGTTTGCAAGCGACAAGCTGCTGCCAATTGAGCATGCGTGGCAGGCAGACGCACTTCACCTACAATCACCGAGATGCAATCACAAGACAGCCAACCGCCCACACCCGGTGACTCAGCGCACAGTCCTCCCAACTTACACCACACCCGACCAAAGTGAGCAGTGAACAGGAGAGAAGAAGCCCAGCAGCGAGAACCAGAAGGCAGACAACACGACTTTTGCAACATCGCCTCTGCCGCGAGTTGACCAACATGCTGTGCTGTTGGCCAAGAAGAGCGACCCCGCTGTTGTTACAACGCCTGCCAGTGTGAGGTCGGACGTTGCCTCGTTTTGCCATAGTGCTGGGTCTGAGTCATTTACTGCACAAACAACATGTGACAATCCCCTCTCTTCCTCACGCTGCGGGCCTCTTATCTGGCCGAGTCCGACGAACCCAACTGTCTATGCGGAGAGTCTGACAGCCAGCATCATGTTTTCAGTGGGGTGGCAGGCATCATCTGTTTCTTTAACAGGCACTATTCCTGCATGGAGTCCTGCATGGAGTGCCTTTCCAAACGCAGCTGTAGACTCATTGTTTGCATGGAGCATGGTGTTGAGTTTGCAGAATCGGGCAGGAGCAACCGCAGCATGAGCAGTGCTATGTCCATCTTCCAAACGAGGCTCAGCTGTTGAAAGGTTTGACAAGCACCTCCATTCAAGGTTGTTCGATATACACATGCCAACGACAGAGCCAGGCCGCTTGTGGGACAGCGATTTGCGGCTCCAGGGCATCTCTAGAATAAGCAAGTCGAAGCAATCCCCGAGATGACGAGGATTCAGATTTTTTGCATGCAGACCGTTCTCTTGTGAACAAGTCATGCGGGTGTAGGCTTTTGGGAAAGATAGTCCGACAGTGATCAACCCCTTACTTGGCAGTACTTACTTGCACCAGATGTTGCTTTATCGCGACATGCGGAGACTTGATTTTTTAATGACAACCCGGCTAACCCTGCAGAAGTTCTCGTAACAACCCGGCACAGTTGTAGCTGAACAAGAGGCAATCTGGCGAAAGTTATGCCCACCAGGCATCCGGATGCTGCATCGAGGAGATCAGCAACTTGTGCGAAGCTTAATACGGAGCACAGTCAAGGCACCAGCCGCGCGGGGCAATCGTACGAGGTATGCCCACTGCTGCGATGGTCGGACGGCAGCAAACGTAGCACAGCAGGCGTGCTGACAAACCGTTTTAACCAGACGGTCTAGACGTGAATTGTCCACTGGCTCTGACGATTAGTTGCATGTCTGCAGTTTGGTGTCCGGGAGCAGAAGTCCAAGATCAGAAAGGCCGTGAATCAATTCAATGTGTCTCTGATGTTCAAGACGCCAGTGTACTTCACTGAACCCTTCGTTTGGGCATTGCAAAGGCCTATGTTGCTCCAGCAGCAAAGCCTGACAAAGTTCCTACAGCACCAAGATATTTGAACGATCTCGGGATCTCCGAGGCCTGCTCCTCAGTGTCTGTCTTCGCACGCGCCTGCACGCGTTTGGACGTTGTGTGTGCATGCTGCGCGGTTGCAGCGACAAACCTGGTATAGTATACATATATATATATGCAGAGATTGCACAGCATGGCTTTGATTTTTTGAAATTCAACGCGGAGTGTGCTTATTGAGCTCATCAAGAAGGAAAAGCGCTCTTCTTATTTATGCTGAACCTCCACAGACTCCATCACATCTTTTTTGATGTACGTGATCAGGGAAATCGGGCGGAGTTCACGTATGTTCACGTTATCTCCGCTAGTTCACAGCTGCCAAATCGAAGAGGATTACATCGGAAGGCCATCAAGAATAACCCGGCGGACCGCTGCACGCACTGTTATGATCAGGACCATTGAAAGAAGTCTGGAAGCTTCGTATGCGCAGATGGTGCAGTGTGGTATGCTTATCTTGCACAGATGAAGGGGCACATCATGATCATCAGAGATGTAGATACCGAGATAGTCATCAAAATATGAATCGCATCTGAGCAAGATGAGCATCAGTTCGCAACAGCACTGAGTAGCTGTGTCCGTTGAGCGAAAAAGCCCGTCGACTGTCGGTGCGAGTACACCCATAATCATGCTCTAGCATTTCCAAGCGAACCAAGAAAGCCCCAACAAAGCCCCAAACCAAAACCTTTCCAGGACTCGAAGACTCCTGCAAAACCGAACCCCCCCCTAAACCTGGTTCCTCCGGTAATAACCTGGTTTTAAACAAGAACCTTCTTTATTCCAGGTTCTGGTTTTAGAAGGTGTATATTCCGGGGACACAGAAAATCTAATTTTTAAATGCTTGGTAATAGCTTTACGAAGCAGTGCAAAATTTGATTTTCCGTGACACGACGCTTTTACCACCAGGTGGTGTGGGCAAACCTGGACAATGGCCAGGAGACCCGCACCACGCTGAGAATCACTGGCGTGCCCGTCAAGCTGCAGACGTCTTAGATGTTCTGGTTCGTTAGCCAGCTGGTCTTTGCAAATCGCAATGTCTGGCATGATGCAGGTGCAAAGAATCCAGGTTTCATGTATTCCTGGAAAACGCAGACTTGGCAGAGGCTCCAAGCGGCAAGTTTCGTACACTTTGCCCGTCACCTGTAGCATGCACGAAGAGTGCGTTGAAGTGCACTGGTCAGCACGTGGACATCTTCCGCCTTTTCGCTGGCTCACGCCGCCACTTCGGCACAGCTTTGGTCAACGCAGTGGCCAGGCTAGTAACATCATGTCCTCCGTGGTTTCTCTCAGGGTACAGCTTTTGGTCTGGTATTCCGAGAGATGCTAAACTCAGGTTTCCCCCACGGGAGTGAAGTTGCTGGCGAAGTTCTTCCATGGACGGCAGTGGGGGGCAGCGGGCAAACTCATCCCTGCAGCCGCCGGCCTGACTCGCTTGGACTGCGAACCGGGTAGAATTCACACTGCTGCTCCGCTGCTCAGCGCTACCGCCTTGCCAGGTCAGCTTTGCAGCAACGCAGGGACGAGACGAGGCGGCTGGTCGTAGCCCGTTTGAGGGAACGCAATACGAGGCTGTGCATGTGCCAGGTTCTGCGAAAGTACCCGTGCAAGGCTCCGGCACTGGATTTCCATCAGTGAGCCTTCGATGCCTTCGTGCAGGAAAACGTTCTCAAGGAGCAGGCGGAGCAGGGCATAGCAGGGCCATCAGGGCCTAAGCCGTGACACAGTGCATCGCCCGCCTTCAGTGCAGAGGACAGCTCCCGATTCACAATTGCAAAGGTTCATGTCTCTTGCTTAGACGTGTTTGCTCACGGTCATACCCGCTTGCTGATGCCATGTTCCCTGCCTGGACACAAAGGCTCACACCTTGGGCGATGTGCCGGGGGTGTCCGAGGTCAGCACGGAGGTTCGGGAGTTTCTTGCCGCATGCCCTTGCAAACTGCGGCCGCCTGCTGCTCGTGGCGAGTCGGCGAAAGCAGCTCTAGACGTCCTTTCATGAACGTTGCATCTGCAACTTTCGGCTTTCGAAAGTGTGGACACCGCAGGCAAGCGACGACGCAGAATCACTGCCAGCTTCTGAAAGGCGAGGGCAGTTTTTCTCTTGTCTGCCTCGACTGATGCCTGTCAGCCGGAGTTTGGCAGAGGCTTTAGGCATTGAGCATCTGCCGAGCCACAAGGCAGGACGTCTGTGCGCATGTTGTTCGTATTATCGATGTCCCGCATTGCATAGAACGCTTCGGTCAGCTTCGGTCCATCTTCCAAGTCAAGGCACCTGAGTTTCTCACTTCAGCACCTCAGCGCATCTCAGCGCCCAAAGCTGAAGGTTCACAAATGCGCATTAAATGCGCTGAAGGGGGGTGCGGAAGTGTCAGGCTGCTTCGAGACATTTCAGGATGCAAGCGGAGAAGCACAAGAGAGACTGAGTGCGCGAGTAAAGACCACGGGAATCCATCCCGGTCTGTCGCGATTTGGCATCTCCTGACTCTGATAACAGACCAGTGCATCTGCCAATGCATCCTCGTGCTGGTGGCGCCGTCTAATTTTCGCCTGGAAATGAATAGGCCATGAGCACGGGTGTGCATGACGGGCACGGCACCAGCTGCGCAGCTTAACACGGTGCGCGACAGTGCAGCAACCTCAAATGGTGTCGAAAAACATTTGGACGTTCCCCCAACCTTTGTTGTTGGGCTTGGTTCTCGATTTGCTCGAGCCAGGTGCGTTGTTTTCAGATCAACGAAGCTTTCCGTCTCTGGGATCCGCCGCTACGCCTTATGCTATAATCTTATGCTTGATGGGAACAAAGCGACTTTAATGTCTTTTACGTATCTCTTTTGCAGTCTAGATTTTGCCTTCCTGTGTTTTGGTCGACGCGAGCGCGACATTTACTTGGTTCACCTTGTTCAGTGCTCGCGCAGCACATCTCGCTGTTTCTTGTGTCTGCAGGGATATTCAACGGCGACATTGGCAACGCGTGAAGTGCTGCCATGTCAGCCCAACTCTGTGGTAGTATCAGTGAGGCCTGGTTATCACTGTAGCCACATCAACCTCAGGGCATGCTTGAAGCGTCGGGTATTGGAACAGCTGGTGCAACTCGACGGAGTTTGCAGCCTGCATACGGCGTACGGCTCAGCTTATGGTCTGCAGCTACACTATCTCAGCAGCTTCGCATGCCCTGGCTGGTGGTTCGGATCGGAGTCGTGCAGTTGCACACTCTGAGTTGTGCATAATAATCATTCACATGTTCACATCGAGGAGTGGACTAGGGACTCAGCGAATTTGGTGCCTGTCCAGCATTTTTTCCGCGGAGCATGGGTCTCCAGAACGCAGGTGTGCACAGCGCATGTGCAAGTTTCACACACTTGGCCATGGGCGGGGTTGCTAGGAGCAACTCTGCGGCCAGCGTGATGTCCACACCGGGTTTCCCACTGGATGCTGGAAGGCGAACTGCATGCGTGATGTCGTGATAGCAGAGTACATAACTGCAGCGGTGCTGGTGAGGATGTAAATTCCTCGCTCAGAAAAGCTCGAATGCATGGCACAGAGCACTGCAGTACAACCTGCATCATGGTTGCAAGTGCATCGTTGTCGCTTGGCAGGCCGTGGCTCAAGCCATCATGTAGCACCGCTGACATGTGAGCACTGTTCGCCTCATTTGAAGTTCTTCGTTGCAATGTATCCTTTACAACCAGCCGCACCGAACAGGAACCATCTGCGATTGCACTTTGCGTGATATGGATACTGGCGGCAATGAAGCCGCAAGCAAACGTCCACTGCTGGAAGAGGCTGAATAGCTCTCGAGTCAGATTCTGCTTGGCTCACCGCTTGCATGGCACTGGCCAGTTGAGACTGCCAGGATACCGGAGAACCACTGAGGGTGCCACGAGCAGGCACTCCCTCAAACTCCCTCGCATTCAAGTGGTCGCGATGACTTCAATAATACCGGTCTTGCAAAGGCCAACGTGCTCAAGACGATCCAGAAAGCTATTCACTCCTGCAGGCAACAGCGCTGTCTGACGTGAATGTTCATGCAACGATTATTTAGTATTGTCAGGGTATGGAATCCTACCACTGTAGCGAGACCCCTTACAAAGAAGTGACGCTGACGAAGGCCACAAACACCAAGGTGCACTGCGGCACACGTTTTTCTGCGCTCGTCGGTGCAGGCTGGGTCCACCGAGCAGCTGTCGGGAGGCGAAACCAGACGAGTAGAATGTTGATGTTAGAGTCTCAGAGCTTGGTAGAAAGGATCTGAGCCGCCGGAGCAAGGGGGCGGAGTTCTGCAATTCCTCCGAACTGAGGAGGCATGGGGAGTTGCAGGGAGGCAGAGGTCCGGGAAGAACTGTAGCCTCAGGAAGTGGCGGATGATCGGTCGGTAGAGAGGCGGTATGCTGAAGACACAAGGCCGGCCGAGGCCCCTTGGGACCTTGGGAGAAGCGGAGCTCGCAAAGCCCCTCCAGGCGACCGGGCGAAGCTCGAGATGGGGAGACCACGGCGATAGAGATGCAAAGCATGGAGGTGCGAAACAGGGTGATGTGCCTGTGCTCTGGGCTCTGATCCGCGGCAGGCCGGTCATTCCAGGGAGCTTTTGCCGGTGGTGCGCTCCTTTTTTGGAAGCGTTTGCTTTGATTCTCGGTCTCGCGTGTGCCGTGTGCAGAGGTTTCTGCCGCTTCCTCGAGCGCGGCGCGGCCCGGGGACGACAGGAAACAGTAGCTAGTGGTTAGCGTGCGACGCTTGGCTGACACGTCTGACACTTTCTGGGGCGCAGGACATGCTTCATTTGCCTGCAGGCGCGCCAGTGCGAAGTGTTCCTTTACTGCTCTTCTATGCTCTTCTAGCCATGGTTGACAGGACAGTGAGAAGGACAACCCTCTCGTCTCCTGCTGCTCGACATGCTACGCCCGTGCCCCGTGGTATATCCACATTGGAGCCATCTCCTGAGAACCAACATCCACTCTGACCATTAGGGAGCTCGATTGAATCTCCGCATTTGGGGCCAGACAACTGCAGTTCGGACATGAGCACGGATGGAGTAAGCACTACTACTTTTGGCGAACACGGGACCGGAGTGATGAAAGGTACACACAGACGCTGTTGGCGCGAGTGGCGTAACAATCAGCACCGGACAGCTTTGCGCTCCCACCTGCTTGGGCTACTTGGAACAAGAGAGTCGGCCCGAGAGCCGTTTGAGCACAGCAAAGCAACAATTCTGCCACAAGCATGTTCATGGGCTGGTGGGCTGGCAGGCTTCGCATCCAAACAAACCATATGCTGCGCTGCACCATCTGCAAATCTGGAACTGCGATGGTGGAAGGAGAAGAGGCGTTCGATATGCTTGCAGTGCGGCGCTTTCGTCCAGCATGTTCCAAACTCTTCAGCTACACTCTTTTGCAGAACGGCCTGTCGTGGATGAACGAGCTAATGTGTGGAGGAGAGCCCAGTTCTTTGGCACATCTTGGCACCTTGCCAGCTGAGTTTGGGAACAGCCTCCTGTCATGTCCCAAGGCGAAAACAGTTTGCTGGGGCGGCTGATTGCGTTGGGAAATCGAAGAGAAGATTCAGACGAGGATCGATGCGGGTGCGAAGCCTGATCTTACAATAGAGAACCTTGACTCTGACAGGATCCAGAAGCACAGCTGGAAGATCTAATTGACACGCTGCTCCCCGAGTGGAATCATGGCCATGATGCGCTTGCTCGATGACGCGGTTCAGCTTAGGCGAACTTGCATTGCTTTGGTCATTTATCTTGGGGTGGTGTCGGTCTCAGAAGCGTTTGCAAAGCCCCTCAGCACGAAAGCAATCATGCGCTGGGCAATGCTGGGCAGCTCATCGTGGCCATCGTTGTGGCCTGCCTGCTGATCGTCACCCGAGGGGTCGGAGAGACTCAGAAAGAAAAGTAGCCGCTGTAGCAGGAGTGTTGCTCCGATCTCTCCTTCACTTGCCTGCACACAGTTCTGGGCTGGCGACGTGGTCCTCTGCTGCATCATCGCTCTTTATGAGCTCTCCGTTCTGCAGGCACCGGCATGCACGGCTTGGGCTTGGGCAAAGAGCGCTTAGCTGCTTAGCTTGCTTCTGTCTCATGTTTCAGCTCGTCCTGCTGGCGATCCTACGACGGCGGGACACAACGCTTCAATCAGCTGTGACAAGGCCTTCGTCCTTCATCGATGTCAGAAAAGCGCTGCTAGTGTACGCTTCTTAGGAAAGCTTGGGACCTAGGAGTGCCAGGTGCCGCTTGCTTCGTTCTAATGCTTAGTTGGCGATAGCTGGGCAGAGAGTTCAGTGCAGGGCAACCCATCATCCTATGTGTGCACACCCTCGCCCTCGCCCATGCAGCAATGTATCAGTCTTACATCCACTGCCCCTCCATAGAGGCCTTTCGCCTGGGCGTTGCAGGCAAGCAGCCGAAGAACCCGCAGCACGCGAAATACAACTCCAAACGCTTTCCGAGCCAAGCCAGGAACCAAGGAGGACCAAGGGCCCTCACCGTGCTTGTGCTTGCACAGCGGCTTTAGAGGCTGAAGCGGAGCAATCGATACCTTCCACTTGATGGCCTGTTTCACCTCTAGGCCCACTGTACAGAGCCGTGCCTGGCAACTGGGCAGTGACATGAGTTTGAGAGCAGCCTAGTTGAGCTTGCACACCGCGCCGAATCCAGTGAAAATGCTCCTTGCTACTGACTTGAAAAGCTTTGCGGAGTTCGTGGCATAAGCCTAACGAGACGCCGTAGCCGAAAGCTCCAGCGTAACTAAACGGGCCCATGGATGTCTGCCAAAGCCTCGATGTCAGAAAAGTGCCGATACAAAGCGTCATTACGATCAGGCAACTTCGATTCACTCGATTCAGGTCAGGACTTTGCTGACGCATGGTCGGTGGGTGGACGGCTTCAAGCCTGGGAGATATCTGTCGCAGGTGGATGCGCAGTGATAAAGACTGCTCACTCGCGACTCATGATGTGCAAGTATCGTGCAAGGTGACCGTTTCGCAAGCACGATTACAAGAGTTCATCCGAGCTGAGCTGAGCTACTTTGCAGCTCAACACACGCAGGCATGTGATCGGGGGTTATATAACTGTGAATCCTCTGACCCGATCCGTGGAAGGCACTGAGCTTGGAACAGATCGTGGAAGCATCGACTCCCGGCAAAGTGGCCCGGCTGGTGCACAAGGAGAGCATTGAAGCACGAAGACATGGGATTTCTTTTGTTTGTGCTCTGTTTTTGTAGTACAGAACAGTAGTCTGAGGGTGTGTACAGTCCAGCAAGAGGTGGGGTAGCTCGCGCAGGGATCTCTCGGTCGTTCTTGTGATTCACTTTGGGGACTTCGCCTCAGGCGGTCCTTTAGTGTTTTACCGGGAGGCCAGTCTAGTGGTCCGGGGCAGCTTCTCATAACCCTTTCCTTTCGCGTGTGAGCTTGTGGGTTCTGCAGCCCCGCACACCTATCGAAAGGTGGGCTTCTATCGCCTATCGCCAGCAGGGCGATCAACTTTGTGCGGAGTCGCCGACGGCTTTCGCTGGCCCTGTGGCCAAACCCGAACTTGAAGCGCAGGGTGCTGGAAAGCAGCCACGACCGGCCCAGCACTTCACGAAGGCCCCGTTGCGATCCTTGGGGTTGCCACACAGGGCCGACTCGATTTGGGTTTTCTGTGGCCATGGCGTCGCTCGAGACGAAGGCTAGCTAAGCGCACAAACTGGGTCGCCGAGCCCCTTCGCTTGTCACCCCTCACCATGTGAAGACCCCTGACCTGGCACAGCCTGCAGCGGATCAGTTGGCTTCCCTTCGCCAAGTGGTCGCGGCGGGGTCTGCTCCCTACGCAGACTGGGCCACGCGATCTTCCCCTGCTTCAGACGTTCACGTCATCACATTGAACATTGCGACGAGCGAGCAGTCGAGGAAGGAGGAGCAATTTCCTTCTTCGTGCCACTCGTGCGGGAAGGTACTCCGCACAGCGCTCTTGCTGCCCGAGGTCGCGGACGCCAAAGACTAGATTTGCGTGCGCTGAGCAGGTGAGAGGTATGCGGCAGTATGCGGCTCAGTTTGGCAACAGCGCCTGGTCGTTGGTCTACAGGGCCACGAACAAGGTGCGAACACATGGACCGTTTGCGCCGCATTCTTCACGCTGCCGCTCGGGCGTGAAATGCAGTGTTCGCTGCTGTTGTGTGCGACGGGGAGTGCTGGACCAGACCTTTTGGCTCTCCCAGCGCCGGCCTGGCTCAGGCCATGGGGGAGGCACCAGCAGCGGAGGAATGTCATCAGGGTGAGCGAGGGCGGGTCACCCAAGTATTCGAAGGCCAAAGGCAAGAAAAAGTATACGAGGGAGAGGACATGAGCGAGAAGAGGGATGGCGTGTTCCGGAGCGGGAGGGGGGCGACAAGATCCTCGGCGAGCGCGGCCGCAGCGCACAAGAAGCAGGCCAGCGAGACAAGCGGAGCTGGGAGTTCTATGGGGCCGTGGGTGAAGAGGCCGACCACAAAGCCATCGTGTTGAAGAGGACGAGGTGGCGTCTTTTTTGGGGTTGCGGTTGCCTGGGATGGCCGCTATTTCGCCCTTTCTGCGCCTCCGGCTCAAAGGCGCTCCACATCGCTCAACCAGCTGTCCGACGGCTTGTCGATTCGATCCAATCCTCGCTCCAGTGGCTCGGTTCTGTCCGGGAGGCACGCGCGGGATCCACCGCCGGCTATACCTCGCACCTGGCCTCCAACTTGCATCCGCACCTTCTTGGGAGCTGTGGCCCGCGGAGTGTGGGAAAACATGGCCAACAAGGCCAAGCTAGAACCCTTTCATCTCACACCCGACGGGATGTACACCATCATTGGGGGGCATGAAGCCAGCTGCCCGGCTACTGTACAGATCGGCAATGCAATGTTTGGATATGGCCAAGCAAGAGCATATTCAGCAAGGCCATCCTTGGACTGAGCAGCTGGCTCTAGCCTACCGGGTGTGCTGTCGTTCCTGCAAGCGAGGCTTGGGCCCAGAGAAGCAGGCAGCGGCATTGCCTCTGGATCGCTGAGCCGACTAAGACAAGATGGACGTGGAGCAGCCGCTGGCCCTACAGTCGACAGGTCACGCTGGACTTCGCATCCCATACAGTCACCTGGCCTTTTTTTCGTCGAAAACCGACGCTGTTCTGGGCGCCACGAGGAAGCATTCGTGCTCATTGTCAAATACAATACTTAACCCGTCTTCGTGTCCGTTCCACGCCTTGGCGATTTTGGTGGCAAGCAAATGCCGGGAAAAGCCGGGCGTCCACTTTCAAACAGAGGATGGGCGGACCCTTTCCAGTCGATTGCCGCGGCGCTTGGCTTGCCTTCGTCTCATCCAGACGGCACGAGAGCTTTTACTGCCCGCATGGCGAGGGGGAAGTTAATGGCCGCTCGAGGCACTGGAGGATACAAACTTTGCATCGAGACCGGGCACAGGGATTCATTGGCACGGGTTTGCTCTGAGCTAGAAACCCGTCTCCTTGAGGCTAGGCCTTTGCTGGCAATTTTCGAGGGCATCTGGCAGGCGAGGTGCCAGCTTGCGCTCCCCCGGCCGAAATAGATGATCACAGTCCAGAGCTTTTCGTTCCTGACTTTGCTCGCGGTGTTGCAAGCTGCACAGAAGCATGACGGATTTTTCGGTACCAGAGATTGTGCTTCAGCCAAAAAACAAGGCGCTTATTGCCTGTCACTTTGCAGGAGGCTAATGGCAATTTCAGTGGGCTTCTGACCACCCGGGACGCAAGTGCAAGCACTGCTTCCCAGAAGAACGGTCGGCGCCACAAGAGTCGTCGAGCTCGTTTTCTTCCGCGTCCTCGAGCTCAAGCTCAGACACGATCAGCACCTGATAAATTTCACCCACAAGGTCTGGTGGTCGAGGTCAAGGCGGGTGTTTCTGCCTGCTTGAACCTTCTGAAACAAAGCCTCAGACTAGCAAGCGGAGCGACCTTTACGACCACTAGTTCAAAAGACTCAATGCTGAGCTAAAGTAACATGGCGGTTTCGTGGGGAGCGGTTCACGATTGTCGTGTACATGTATAAATTTGTATAAAACGTAGCTTGCTGGTGTTGGAATGACAAGGGTCAGCGTGGATGATGGGTTTGTTCAACGTTTAGAGTGTCCTAAGGACGACACCCGATTTAATTTCTCCCGCCCACCCACTCCCGGGTGCCTCTGCCCCCTGAAGTCTTCTGGGGCCAAGCCGCAGAGTAGCAAGCGGACCGACCTTTCAGACCAGTTCAAAAGACTTTCAATGCTGGTTTGATGTAACATGGCGGTTTCTTGGGGAGTGGTTACGATTGTCCTTTGCACCTTTGCGCTCTGCGGAGGAGCTGCCCTTTCGCTTTGCTGCACGCATCGAGCATATTGAGGCTAGCAAAGAGAGTCCACAGATCCGCGCGGTTCCACTGGTTGCTGCGTGACATTGCAGGCAGTGACAGGATGGGAACAGCAGCTTGAACTCCAGAAGCTACCTCGGATTGAAACTTTGCAACCCTTGCCTGGTGCAACATGATATCGGCAGCAGTGCGATGGCTGGGCGAGGCAATTGCACGAGATTTTCTTGGACTCATTCAGCGAGTTGCGCATGTCCGAACCTCCCGGGACTGAGGAGCCGGAAGCGGGTCACTTGAAATCGTGTTAGCAGATCTCAGAACGGTTTTTGCAGGAGTGCCCGCTGTCGGTATCAGATTTGAAAGAATACACGGAGGCCCCGCAAAGCAGATAATGTTCGCCTACATGATACTCGTGCCTTACAGACCTTACTGTCATTGTTTGCCGAATGACAGGTCATCCGAAATGTTCGGAAACGTCATCGACCTGTCGTAGCATTGCTTGCTGAGGTTGCTGGGTTGTAGTTGCCCAGCTATCCTGTGCAGATTATAAGGGATGCTGGGCCGTGTGGAGGCTTTTCGGAAGATGATGCACAATGACGCAGCTTGGATTGAGGATGATGCTTTTCAGCTGAGTCCTCAGAGTTCTGGCTTTACTTATGGAGTCCTAGTATGGAGAGCTGCACCGTTGTGCATCAGGTCGTGGGCTGACACCTTTCTGATATCCAGAATCTCTACAGAAATGTTGGGCACCGACAGCACCGATGCAAGAACCTTGCGGCCAGTGCTTGAGCTTGCTACGAGGCTGACTTCTCACTACATGGCAGTGGTGGAGTCGCACGACCCCTCCGACCTCCACTTAGCACTGAAACGCTGAGATCGGCAGCATGCTGTCACTCTTCAGCTGCTTTCCGCACACGAGGCCGCCCAGCTGCTCAGCCTTGTGCCCATCAGCAGAGTCAACAATGAGACATCACAGTACTTCGAGTCTGAGGCGAGGATCATATTGGCATCGTTGACACGAAGTGCAATCCCGGCAGAATCTGCGAGGAGGATCGTCTTATCGCGGCATCGCCCATTTGTGAAACTTGAACAGCCGTCACCAGGCTGCAAAGGCCGTTCAAGCGATGTACACAAGTCCAAGAAGGCTTGAAGCTTGCGACTTCTTCATGTGCGTCGGGTTTGATTAGTGAAGAAATTCCCACTGCGAAGGCAACTTGCAGGAAGTTTGAGCATCGAGGTTCACTCGCATTCTGACTCTGGCTCGCTCTCTGCCATCGAGTTTTCTTACATTCCGAAGTATTTGTTCTACATTGTCCAGGACGCGGTCGGGCGGCAGAGAGTTGAAAGAGCTGATGGCTCTCACAAGACGTCCTGGCAGGAGCTGATCAAGAACAGTGCCCGGGCGACGGTCGAGGTACCTGCGACGGGAGACTGGGTTGACATTGATCCAATGGAATCACATTCTTTCCCTTGCTGCAGTGCAGTGTGGATTTGACTGTGCGGCATTTGCACTCGTTGCATTCATTCGAACGATGGCTCCCGGCTTTGGGAGTTCAACTCGAGTTGCTCGGGATTCGGCTTCCGAGTCCCAAATTCTAGAATTCCTCAGGGCCGGAAGACTCCAAAGGTTGTTTTTGAATGGACCTCTGGGTCATCGTTCAGAGCCTGGCAGTTTGAGATATTCCTTATTGGGAGGCCTGCGAGATGGACAGACGGAGAACCTTGTCGCAAAGGCCAATTGTGGTCACCGTCATCCTGGCATGCGATTCGGATTGCCGAAGTTGCTGCGCCATCAATGCCCCCCTTCTGACTTGACCTCACAGCACATTCATGCGTGTGCAAGGTTTGTGCAGACCAGAAGCAGGTGGCCATACGAATAGCAGATCAGGCGCAGATTGGCCATGCTGTGCTGCAGATACCCCGGGCAACAGGCTTCGTATTGACACCGAAGCTTGCGTGAGCATTATTACGCAGAAGAGTACGCTTCCCTAGGTTCTAGGTGGCGCTCCGGGATCTGTTGAATGGTTACCTTTTAAGGCCTGGCGTGTCTTACCTCTAATCGTGTGAACTGAACTATACAACCCGATTTTTGAGACCATCCCGAAGCCCACCATGTCCACAGCCTTGGGGTTACGGCATTCCTGGAACCCCGAAGCCGTCGGGGGCTGGGGCAACTGTCCGCCATGGTTACAAAGAGGGTAAGGCGGAAATTCTCGGAAAGCCGATAAACAGGGAAGCCCAGTGTGTATGTCGTCGTGTCAGGGAGGTGGCGTGCCCTTTGGCAAAGCGGACGAGATCTGGTCATACCGTTTTTCTACATCAAAGCAGCCAGTCCAGGATGCCTTGCAGATTTCGTGCAGAGCCGACTGTGCAGCTTGAATGTAAAACACTGCGATAAGCAGGAGTACCTGGAGAGTGGCAGTCCTCTTGCTGGTTGGGGTGTCGGTCTGCCTCTTGGTCGGCTCTATGCCAGGCAGGAAGAAACGAGTCCAGCAATAGCATGTGTTGCAGTTACCGTGTGTTTTTGCTTTTGGAGGTATCTGGGCGGCTCCTTGGAGTTGATGAATGTACCTGGCACTGGAGTTGATGCGCCACATGCTGAGATTCCGTGGTCCTTCGGACAATCTGCCCTCTTGCCTTGCATGACAGCTATGTGCAGCAAAGGTGCATTTGTCTGTTGCTGCTAATAATTGCGAATGCTGGTGGTATCCTTTGAAGTCGCTGTTCGGACCCATCGCGGCCCATGCTGTGAGTCGTTGATAGAGCCCATTTCGCTGCTCATCCTTGGCTTTGCATCACTGCTTTCCGAGTGACAAGCTTGGAGGGACCACCTGCTTAAACTGCACACCCTCAAACCTCAAGCAACTCACCCCAGCCTGTCCTCTGGCCCGTTGGCTCCGTTATCGACTCGGCCTCTACTGAGGTATCTCTTTCTGAGGCGAATTGCACCAGAGGGAGTTCCGTCCGCTCCCTAATATTCTTCACACGTGCTACGGTAGCAGAGTCATTTTTCAGTCCTGCTCCTGGACATTGCAATCTGAGGCGCTCCTCCATATCTGATTCGCTGGCCCCAGTCTAGCAAGAGGGCCCTGACATGGTCGCTGGCTTCAAACTCGCGGAGTTCAACTTCCAGCCTGTGGTCGTTGTCATCTGCACTGCTCTGCAGCCCAACAACAACGGCATCTCGATGTGTGTGTTGTTGGAGGAGGCATCCGTCGCGACCCGCAGACATGGAGAATCAGGACCACTGACAAGGGAGAAGGCTGCAAGCGTCCTGGCATCTTGCAAGCTCGATGTCTGAAATGACAGAGCAGCACATTCAGCCCCATGCCGGGGAAAAAGCGCAACTCGGGCTAACTCGGGTGAACTGCGCATGTTGCCAGTTGGTTGTAGTCGCGAACCGTTTGCCTCGCGATGGTTCAAGCCACTGACTGTGCAAACTTACGCGGTCTGCATGAACCAGAAGACAGCTGTCAGCTCCACTCAACAACGCCCACGTGCTGCTCAGACCCCAGCCGCCCCGCACATAGGCATTGGAGCCAACCAATGCAAGTTCGGTAAACTTGGCCGGACATGCAGAGAGTCTGTGTTTTCCAATGATTTGGAAGCTTCAACTTGGGCGCAGAATGCTCAGTCGCTTCGAGCAGCTTCTGTTGAGTTACGCAAAGGTAGTTTGAATGCAGGCGCGGCCCATCGAAGACGGCAATGGACGAAGTTGATATGTCACCTTGCGAACTTTATGTGCACTTAGGACAAGGTTGTGTCAATTGCTTCCTGCCTCTTCTGCTCTGAGTTCCGTAAGGTCCGTCTTTTCCAAGATGGCAGAGCTCCTCGCAAGACCGCCACCAACACGCATGTATGCCAACCAGTGCCACCACAACACATTGTGCTCTGACTATGACAAGGCTGTCTCCTACAGCCTTGGAAAAGGAGGCAAAGGAGGAAGCGGCAGCCAGCCGTCGTGCACCAAAGCCCAGGATGGCAAAGGCCTGGTTTGCGGCGGCATGAACAGGTTGCTTGGGTCAGCTTTCCATGGCTTGAACCCCCCAGGCACGAAGTGGCCTTCAGAACCGTTCTGGCTCTGCACTAGAGCCTGTGAGACGGTCTACTGCGGTCACTTCAAGCGCGGGGAGCCAAGTCGACGGTCGTGATGCGACGGCTAGCAGCAGCTCTCAAGTCAAGCATCCAGGCCACATGGGCCATGGCCTGCATGTTCCACAGCATCTGCGCGTATTCCGCGAATCAATCCAGCTATGCCAGCCATGTCCAGCCAGAATTTGCAACTTTCGTCATTGAGGCGAGGCAATGCAGGAGCGTAAGGAAGGTGTCGATTTGTTAAAAATTGTCCCCGCGACAGCTGCGATGCCAAACCAGTAGAAGGTCCTTGATTGGTTTGACGGCTGACCATAACATTGGTGAAACCTCGTGTGTTTTCTGTCATCATCTCTTGACTGTCTCGAACAGAATGGTAGGGTGATGCAGTGTGGCTCAGATCACTAACTTTAAACAGACATTCCAAAAGCTCTGCCTGCTGCTAAGGATCACGACACGGATGCCAAGGGAAGCATCTTGTCCGCCGTCTCGGAGCTGAGTGGTGCCGGCATCCGTTCAATTCAGCTCTGGCATTTGCTGGTGCAGATGCTCATGCTGCGCAGCGCAGGTGGACTACAACAAGTCTGGAAAGAGAAAGCTAAGCATCCCTCCTACAGAAAGGCCTCTTGCAGCCGCTTGCGTGTCATCGATCTACGAGGGTCGCATTTCCAGTAAACAGTGCAGGCAGGACCTCCTCGAATGAAGAGACCTCCTGTTAAAGTTCTCGCGGAGGAGGCCAGGTGCAGAGCTGTTGGGAACCTCGGCTGGGCTGATGCCTGACAGGAACGACTTCAGAAAATGGACGAGATTGACAACCTCGAGCAGCAATTGACAGAGGTGATGGTTAAAGTCATGGTCGAAGCACAAGCCGCGAACGCCGCAAGCAGGGATCGCTGCAAGGCCAAGAACGTGGCGGCTGCCGCTCGGGAGGCTGCAGCAGCTGCTGAAAGGCTAGCACAGTCTGCAGAAGCTGACGAGGAGCTCGTACTGGGAGTGGAGATGCCACAGCGACATGTCAGATACGAGATTAAGGACTCTGGCTCCGAAAAGTTGGCGTCGGAGCTCCTTGGCTCTGGCCCTCATGAGGACAGCAAACTGTGAACGAGCTCTCTACATGTGATGACATGGTGACTACACGCATGCCTTGGGCGGAGTTCCTGACAGGTGCCGCAGAAAGACGGGCTCCATCGGCAGGTGAACCTAGCCATGATCTGTGCTGCTTGTTTTGGAGTTCAGTGGATGTCGTGCAGGCTGAGGAGCGAGTCAAGGCACGCCGGCAGCAAGAGGCAAAGGACTGCGGGATGATGTGCGATGGAGCCTCGAGCGAGAAAAGCCGGAATGAGAAATCCAGGAGCGGAGAGAACACAGTCGGAGGGAGGCAGAGGAGAAGCGGAAGAAGCAGGTGCGAGGACAACTGATTCCAGGGACCCCGCGCCGAATGAGCCCTGCTACATTGGCATCCCTTAGGCAGATGCAGAAGCGAAAGCAAGTGAATTGGAGCGACAGGCCAAAGAACGTGTGCAGGACGACCTGCTGACCGTTAGTCTATGTCAGTCTCCCAGACTCCAGCGGCAAATTCAGGGCCTGCTGAGACAAACGTCAGCAATCAGCTGCGGTTTCCAGATGTTCGCCTAACACGGATGTGAAAGTACTGCCACGATGTCGTGGCAAGCCTTCGATAATAAGAAGCTGCAACAGCTCCTCAGCAACTCGAACTGTGTTACTTACCAGTTCATGCAGTCTAGGTGCATGTCGGTCGCGCGCAAACACTCGATTTTACTTTGGAAGGAGCGCATCCGAGCAGAAAGAACTCGCGAAAGGCTGCTCCAGGAGCAACAGGAGCGCCGAAGACTCAGCTGTGGAAAATCGTATCTATCGAAGGTGGCACAAGGTGATGCGGCCGTGAACCTGCATTGGAGGTGATGCGGAAGAGCGAGAGAAGCGTTCGCGACAGGTAGCCGAGGCACTCGTTGCGAGCCGAATTCTACCTACTACTTGGCTGTTGAATCTGAGAGCCCTTGAGAGGAGCTGCGTCAACAAGCGTTGAAGCGATTGGCTGATAAGGAGCTGCACGCTGGGGAGACCACGTCGGGTTTGCAAACTTATAGAAGATGATGCAGGATGTGCTTTCTGACTTCGCGCATCTTATGGAGGACCAGGCGAGCCGCCAACTGGCCGAAGAGATGGCCAAGCAAGAGTCGGAGGAGTCGCGAGTCATTGTTGTTTATATGCCAGTTTATTGAAGAAGCTTGTGCAAGCACCGCAAGAACACGCGTTACAACTTGATAGACCCCTAGAAAGCCCCAAAACGGCCAGAAAGAAAATGCCAAGAAGACGGGGGCCAGCTGCGAGAGTGCCGCCACTGCCGGAAGTGAATTTGTGTCATTGCCCATTGCCGAAACTGGGAGGGTGCTTGCAGCCGAATACTGTGCGTGGCTTGCGCAATGCTTCTTTTCGGCAGAGTTTCACGTGTGCCTGAGACGGGACCGTCCGAGCAATTTCCGAGCAGCAGGAGACATGGCCCAGACCTGACCCTTTAAGCCCAGAGCCTACGCTTCGACAAAGCACCGCCTACGATGACTTACGAAAGGGAACGCGTGACCCGGGAGTCCGGGAGGCCAGGCGGCTGCAAATCGAAGAAAGCGAAGCTCGAGCTGAGGAGCTGCGCCGGCCCCAAGATGCCGGCTGTGTCTCAGAAGCGAATCAGCGAATCCAGAGTGTGAGGCGAATGAAGACTCGACAGCGAATGCATCAACACCTCCGGGAGCAGAAAGAGCAGGAGAATGCAGCCGAAGAGGCACTCGGACGCAGACTGATGCAGACTGCAGGCCAGAGAGAACGACATGCATTGCAGTGGTGTCGGAGGCTCGTCAACGACGCATTGAAGACGCGGCTAGGGCTGCCAACTCAGTTTGAGGTTTGAGGTTTCGCAACTGCAAAAACAGTCACGCGGTGAAGTCCCTTATCTTCCAAAAGCCGCCCCGCAGCATGCTTGGCCTGAACCACGGGTCGTCTCGGACCTTTTTTCTGCATGGCCCGGCTGCATGCCATGCAGAGGTGCGACAGCCCGAGGCGTGCACTGTTCTTGGCGAGGTAAGGAGTCGCAAATGGGGTGCGAACCCAAACGGTATAAAATGGAATTCCCTGACACATTCCAACATCGTTCTTCTTGATTTCGATATGGCATCTCTTGGCAACGGGTATTTGCGTGGCCTCGGCGGAACCCGATAGGTAGGCGGACATTAAAAACAGCGCATTGTCCAAAAGACGTCCGTTGCAACTACATGACAACGCTCGTGGTGTATTTCCCGCTGTGTTGGTGACGGAGAGGTTTGTTGTGAGACGGGGAGTCACGAGCTTGTTTCCAAGACTTCCTCATGTTTGCCTTTGGCTTGCTCTTGCCGAGTTCGTTCCTGGTGTCAGCATGTTCTTGCGTGTCATGTCTTGGCTCCTGGCTCGGAGCTACCAGCTGTACTTGCTCATCTCTGGGGAGCATGACCTTCTGGACCGAAAGCCAGAAGCTTGCTTGTCCACACCTTACAGTAATCCTCCATTTCCGCAATCCTAGCACTTTGACAGAGAACTGAACAACTACACCTCATTATCTCCCTAACGACAAGCCCTAAGACTCCAAGATCTATTGCAAGTGAAGCCCAGCCACCCCGAACTCCGGCTTGCACCGCAGGGAAGAAAACTGACCGTGGCCTTCCAGCATTGCATCTCTCATTTGTCCCGCTGATTTCTCGTTTGGACAGTGCAGACATCTCTGCGTCTCCCGTCGCTTCAAACTCCTTTCAGAATTTCTCGGGTGCCTCGATGTGATTTTTACTCCAAGCTGTAATTAAGGCTGGCCACCAGTCGCCAATTCACAATACATCACATCTTCGTAGAGACGCCTGTGGACCGCGTTGTCGCAGCCCATATCCAGGCCGAAGAAGGCAAGATCCGGCAGGCCATCGAAGCAGACGTGCGAAATGCCCCCACAGC